GGGGGAGGGGGGGGGAGAAGAGGGAGAAAATGTCTTGAAATTCCAAAGCCTATTGAAGTCATCAAAAGAGAAACGTTTAAGTAGTGGCAAATAGCTTTTCACCTCTAGATCACTTGATTCATGTCTGTCACAATCTAATAAAGGCCAGATTATGGCCCTTAGAAAGTAGGTGCTCTCATTAGGATGGCATCAGCAGTAGCTTGCTGAAGGGCAAGTGCCCATAATACTAAACTGTTTATGTCCAATCCAGGCTATAAAGGCCTTGGGCAAGGTTCTGTCGTTTCACTGGCGTCTGTAAGCACCTATGACACCTATTCAGTGCAAATACATAAATCCTTACTTCTCCTCTTAACTTGTCTCTTACATCAGGCTTGAGACAGTGGAGCATAGTGTAGCAAGCTTACATCATACCTGAAAAACACAAGCTGAAAACAGGTATCTGTTGAGATGCCCTATACCCCTGTATTCTTTGTCCTAAACTTGGAAACTATTTAACTTAAAGATCCAACAATGAGTGAATAAACTAAGGAAATAAAGATTAAAGGAATTATAGAGGAATTTAGCATTTGGAAGGAAGTATAACAGGTTTAGATGAAGCTAGATCAAATAGTAGAAACGAAAGGATTAAAACATTTGAGAGAGCTTTTGAAAAATAAAGTACATACAACAATTCTGCACTTGCAGGCAAATAAAAGAAATGGCATGTAGAATCATGCCTGAAAGATTAAAACTTCTGGTGGCAGCTTTAGAGACTTCAGTCAGTTGCATTTTAACAGGCACCCAAGTTATCCAGGGAGACAAGTTGTGTGACATAGTATCTAAGGCACTAAAAGCACCCCTGGAGAAAGAGAGTTTGAAGCCCCTAAAAGCCAGGTCCCCAGCTGATAAAGCTAAATACACGAGAGCAGTAAGAAAATGACCCATTTAAGAGCATAGTGGTTACTCGGACAACTGCAACCCAGCATCAGAACAGCAAAGCTGGGTCAAAAGGTGATCACTTACAAGTTGTATCACGTCCAGGAAACAGCTTAATTCACAGACAGTTAGATTCTACCTTCTATTGAAGAAAAATAAATGCTGGGCTGAATGAGTCTGCTTGCTTAGTTTCATTTTCATAGCCAGACTTAAGTCAGCCTGCACAACAGCGTTACATTTAAGGCAAGTGCTCTAAGAATTGCTGATGTGGACACAGAAAATTGTTTCCCTTCTATCCAAGTATCTACCAGATGGTCCAGAAATCCACTTTGTTACTGCTTTTGTAACGCAGATGTAGGGCATCTACCCCTCAGGGACCATGAGCCCAGCCCAGCTAGACAATTCATCTGTCCGTCCCTGGCTATTCTCTTTCCCAACAGCCTCCCTAAAAGATCAGGAACAGGTAGCACTTCACCTGCTTACACGTGTAATAAATACACTGTGGGAAGCAGCTAGGCAAGCGCAGCAGGTGTGGTCTCTTTGTGGTGCAGGGGCACTGGCACAGCCACCAAGTGCCCCAGCAGAATGGTTTGGCATCATTAGTAAGGATTTCTGACCCTATTCCAAAGAGTATGTTTATCCAGGCTATTTGCAGTGTGCCTGACCATCACAGCTAAAACATTCAGCTATTTTCACAGACAGAGAAAATAGTGGATTACCTTAGAAAGGGAGGAAGGATATTATTTTACATAGAAAAAAGAAGTTAACCTTCCACATGCTGCATCTCTAGAAACTTAGCTGGTAATTTGAACCTTCATTCTTACTCTCTCAGCAATCATTCCAGATCCACGAAAAAATAAAAGCCTCCTTTAAGGCTACCAAATTTAAAGCCTTGGTAGTTCACCTTAGAGGTATTTACAATAACTGTACTGGGGTAGTTACCCCTCTGAACTGAGTTGCTCATCAATTCTGCTGCTTCAAAGCAGAGAAAGAAACAACAATAAAATATTTCATCCACGCTGCTGGACTGTGGTGCTGACTTTGCCTTAAGTACTATTCATGTTTCCAGAGCTCCTGAATCCATTTCTTTTACATCTGCTGCCTACCACCTGAAGCCTTGACCTCTACCTTTCCCTTGACACCAATAAACATATTTGCTCCTGTTAGTTTACAGTGAAAGATGGTGAAGCTTTCTGGAGTGGACAAGCACCACTGCAGATACCCAAAGAAAACGAAGCAGCTCAAGGAGCACTTCTCTACAGAAACCTGCAACAGCAATTTGAACTCTGCTATGAAAGATAAAAGCAGATTCTTGGCTATCTGGCAATAATTATTTTTGGTCATTCTCACAGGTATTAAAACCAATAGAAATCAAAACAGGGCAAAAACTGAAACCTGTTTCTTCGGCAGCTCCAAAACCAAGCAAACATTCTCATTTCTTTCCAGCAAAATTTCAAAAATTATCTTAATTTTTAATATAATTTTATATAACAATGGTAAAATAATTTTCATTTCTACTAAAATAGATTTAAAGTTCAACATTAAAAACTTACTTCTTAAAAACCTATCAACTTTGACTTTTCCTACCAGCCATCTTTTGATTGCTGCCAGCCCATGCAGCACAGTGCTAGTGGACTCCTGTGAGACACTTTTGGTAAAAGTATGAATAAAAGAACCAAAATGTTCTTCACACATCAGCTCTGATGCTGAGCACAACAAATCCTCACCCACATGTTCTCTGTTAAACACTTGCTATGTACCAAAAAAGTAATTTAATAAGGATGTTTTTAAAAGAGAACAAGAGGTCTGATGTCCACTACTGCCACATCAGAGACACCTCTTTTGCTTAGGCTGGCT